CTGAGGCACCCCATATGTTAGGGGCCTAGGGGACGATCTCTGCCCCCCCACCAACACCGACCAAGAGGTGGGTAGAATAGGATGGCTTCTCCTAAAATCTATCATCTCTACAGTTCTCAGTTCCAGATTGTTCTGACTGCACAACAGGGCCAGTTCTACCTCCTGTCTGTATGAAGACTCATCATCATCATCATCATCATCATCATCATCATCATCATCTCAAATGAGTCGAAGGACTCTTGTGTCATCTGCAAACTCCATTCCTTTTAGAGTGGGATCCTCCGAGGTGCAGTCATTGGAGTACAGACAAAAGAGTAATGGAGAGAGGGTGGAGCCCCCGGGGACTCCTCTGCTCATTGAATGGGTCTTTGATGTGATCTTCCCTACTTTCACCTGCTGCTTCCCGTCTGTTAGAAAGCTTACAGATTAACAGAGTCAGAAGGGACCTTGTAGGTCACCTAGTCCAAACCCCCTCCCAAGCAGGAGACCATTTCTGACAGATGGCAGTCCAGATTCTTCTTAAAATCCTCCAGTGACGAAGCTGCCACAACTTCTGAAGGCAACTTCTGTTCCATGGCTTAATTGTTCTCCCTGTGATAAAAAAAATTATCCTTGTTTACAGGTTGAATCTCTCCTTGTCCAGTGTCCATCCATTGTTCCTTGTCTGGACTTTGGGTGCCTTGGAAAATAGCTTGGCCTCCTCCTCTCTGGGGCAGCCCCTCAAATATTGGAAGATGCTCCCCTGGTCCTTCTCTTCCCTGGACTCTCCATGCCCAGTTCCTGCAACCGTTTATCGTATGTTTTAGAGCCCCCCACTGCCCTAATCATGCTGGTTGCTCTTCTCTGCACTCTTTGCAGAGTCTCAACATCTTTTTAATAGTGTGGTGACCAAAACTGGATGCAGGATTCCAGGTGTGGCCTTACTAAGACTTTATAGAGTGGTATTTGTACCTCCCTTGATCTTGACTGTATCCCTCTGTTAATGCAATTTAGGATTGCATTGGCTTTTGTGGCTGCTGCCGCACATGGCTGGCTCCCATTTAACTGGTTATCCACTAAGACCCATCTGCCAGTATGGTCAGGCCCAGTTAGTGGAGTCAGTTTGGAGAAAAGGGTTTCTGGAATGATAGTGTTGAGTGCCAAGCTAAGGTCTATGAAAAGGACCCTTGCATAGGTCTTTCAATAGGGAACGGGGGGATTTATAGGCAAAGAAGAGGGTGGATTGCTGTTGGGGGGAGGGGAAGGGGAGAGAGAATTTGCTTTGGTTCAGGATTTCTGGTCCTGATTAACTATCTGGATTAAGCTTGTTTTTGTCATTAGATTTGGAACACGATAAGGTCACACAACTGACTCCCTGGAAATTAATCTGATTGACTGATTGATTGATTGATTGATTGATTGATTGATAACATGTACATTCTGACCCTTCTGACTCCATATGAGAAATGGGAAGTTAAAGAAAGATGTTTTTGCACAGGAAATTCTCCCTGTTGTCTTCTGGCCAAGGGGACTCTCTGGTAGCACTGGAGCCAAAGATGACCCTCCATGCCCACCCACTGGCGGCAGACTTGAGAGGTTCAACATGTGAGGATCACATGACCCAACCCTTGGCTTCTCTCTAATTGTCCCTGATCCCAAAAGATCACGATAGGAGCCGAGGTGGCGCAGTGGTTAGAGTGCTGTACTGCAGGCTACTTCAGCTGACTGCAGTTCAGCTGTTCAAATCTCACTGGCTCAGGGTTGACTCAGCCTTCCATCCTTCCAAAAGCTTTCATCATATGACTGTCATTCCAGCCAGCTGATACGCTTTATGTGCTTAATTTAGTTTTCGCTAAAAACTTTTTAGACACAACAGATGTTTTCATCAACCCAAATGTACATATTTCTGCCAGTAAGCTTACTGTGCAATTTTGAAAGAGCACAGCTCAACTGTTTATGTGTTGTTGTTGGCCGCTTTTGGTTTGACTACCAGGCGTTGTTGTTTTGTGATTCTATTGTGTGCATACTACATTTGCCCACAGAGTGGGAAACTCTGAGATTTCCTCCACACTCACACATGACAGGAAAATGGTGCTGAGACCCATCAGGTACCCAGACCTCCAATTAAAACGAGGTGGACATGCCAGAAAACATCGTAGCCTCAATGGAATTGGCCTTCTAAAGAAACACTTTTAATACCAATGTTTGCCATGCAGAAGACTCCGGGGGTGTTGAGTTTGGGACCTCCAGCGTCTCCTGGGTCTCCAAAATTAACAAGGCCAGTCATGCTAAAGCAGAATTTATTTGACCTTCTGCCCCATCAGGAGGAGTAAAATCAGAAGCTCCAGAGAGCAAAAAGAAGTGAAGGGGTGCAGAGTGGAGATTTTTGGCAGAGCTGCATTGCTTCTCCAGAGTTCTTCAGGTGCTTCGCTCACTCTGGAGCAAGAAAAGGAGCGATTGGCACTAGTATTTGCACTGGCAGATGAAAGATTGCTTGGCATCACAGTGAATGTCGTTCCATTTGAGGTATCCTGGACAGCAAAACAGAAAGTTTCAATTTCAGTTTGGACCAACCTTCCAATCTGTTTGCCCTGCACACCCAACAGATCCCCCAAAGGCAAAGATGTCGGGAGTGAACTCTTATGCGCTGTTTCCCAGGTTTTAAGGCAAACAGGATTGGCCACTGGGGTATCCAAGGGTTTCCCTTAGCGAGGGTCTTTTTGTGTCCCATTGGCTCCATAGAGGGTCAGGCTGTGAGAGCTTAGAATCTGAGGAGGTCAAGGTCATCAGTTGTCCACTGGTGGGTGTCCCAAGATGGGTGAGATAAGTCCTGATTGTTGAAAGCGTATCTTCAACACCCTCCCCTCCAGCTTGGCTTACCTGTCCATAACATTAGCTCAACACAATACTCGTTGTTTTCATGGTTGTTGGGCTCTCCTGAATCCCAGGAGATGAAGTCAAGGGAGGATCTGTCTGACCACTTCCAGATGCCGTTCTGGAATGACAGGGAAGCCGCATTAGCCAAGAAGGAGAGAAGGAGGAATCATTCTCTGCATGGCCCAGGAGCAGAGATGAATCTCCCCCCCTCCCTCCCTCCCTCCCTCATCTTCCTTTTACTGTCTCCTTTTCTTACTCTCTCTGTCTCTCTTTTTCTCTCTCATCTATCTATCTATCTATCTATCTATCTATCATCATCATCATCATCATCATCTATTTATATTCAATCTCAGTTGATCTGGAACAGCTCACCAGGGTTAAATTTGGATGTTTGGATAGGTGGCAATCAGGAGATCCAGGGAAAAGATGCCCCAGAAGAAAACTACCTGGAGGTGTCCAGATAGTCAACACTGATTGGTCTCAGGAATAGGATCAGAGTCAAGGGGTCCTTGGGTGGGAGACCCCCAGCAGAACCCCAGAGCTGTAGGGAAGACTGAAAGGTATCTTGGGAGTTTGTAGGGGGAAACCTACTTCTGTGTTATTTCTATTCTTAAAGTCTCCAGGAACTGATCTCAATTCCAGGGAAACTTCCCTTCTTTGTAGATCATGAA